CAATGCAGGAAGAAGCCCGCCGAGAATAAGTCGGTCTGCGAGAAGGCCCCGGTGGAGAAGAAGCCCAAGGCCAGGAACAAACTTGCCAAGGAGGGCGGCGCCGCTGGCGACAAGAAGAAGAAGAGGGAGAAGAAGAGCGTGGAGCCTTACAAGATCTACATCATCAAGGTTATGAAGCAGGTCCATCTAGACATCAAGATCTCGAGCAAGGCTGTGGGCATCATGAACAGCTTCATGAATGACATCTTTCAGAAGCTCGCCCAAAAGAAATCCCGTCTCGTCAAGTACAACAAGAAGCCGACCATCACCTCTCGCGAGATCCATACAGCCGTGAGGTTGGTGCTTCCCAGGGAGTTGGCCAAGCACGCCGTCTGAGGGGACGAAGGCTGTCACTAAGTTCGCCAGGTCTTGAGTTAGGGTTTGTCTGCGTAGGTTTGAAATTAACTGGTTATCTCTTTCTTTTAAATATTTTTATTTTTTTAATGTCTTACTTTGTTCTGATTTGTGCTGGTCGACCGTTCTTAAGTGTGGTGGACCTTGCAGAGTTGCAGGTTATTTTTTTTTCCTGGTACTATGAGAATTTTATTTGGGTGGAGGCAGATGGGTGAATGTGAGGACAAGGTTATGATGGTATAGTGTTAAATATGTATTTTGTGTAGTTTTTTTCATTATGTTTAGTATTAGATTTAAATTCATTGTCAATATCAGATTTCATTTAAGCAGTAAAATTTCAGTACGAATTTGGTTTCCCCACTTTCTTGTTCTTGTTATATTCAGTTTTTTATACGATGCTTGTGGGATGAGTAAAAAATCTCAGGAGCAAATTGTAGGTATAGCTGCTAAGGATGTTAATAATGATACGACTGTCGTTGAACATGTTGAGGACATGTACAAGTTCTACTAATCGGCTAAGGTAATCTACCAACTTTAGTTTAGCTTAAGAATTCTTTTCGTGTTTTCAAATAATGCCATTTGCTTGCTAAGTTATTTTTATTTTTCTTGGTTTTTGGCTCAGAATGAGGGCCCGACACACAACTACATGGACCTACAACCCGAGATAAAGGAGAAAATGCGTGCGATCATGATCGACTGGGTAGTTCATGTCCATAGCAAATTCGAGCACTCTCTAGAGAAATTTAACCTCACTTTCTCAGTTGAGTTCGACCTGGACAGAGATACTTTGCTTTGGTGTGCAGTTGGTGAGGTTTTTATGTGTTATTTTTTATGCTATTTTAATTACGCATTCATAATGTGACACTTAGATGCTAAGGAAATTTGTTTTTGGGTTTGTGAAAACTGCTAATGTTGTTGTAGATAGTTGATTTGCGTTTTTGCATCTATGTTCTTCGTTACTTCATTATTGATATTTTTATGTGGATAATCACTTATCTGCCTGTACGTGGTTTTGATTTGAAGAAGCAATTGCTAGGGCAGCATGGCTATAAAGGCGACTGATATGATTAAAGTGGACCGGTCAGATATGGCCCTAACGGGTAGCGGGAATCCTCTTTCTGTGGGATGCAAATCATTAGCGGCGCGTCACTTACAACGACGGTGTCGTCCTCGGTCCAGACTCACGCACCATCGGAGGTTATATTTACTGACCGCTCTAATTTACTCTTCTTTTGAGTTTATATCGGCATTTTGTGTTTTCACGTTCATGAGTATATAGTTATCCATAGTTGAAGGATTTAAAACAATTGACAACTTGAAAAGCTTTCAGGATATTTCCTTTCCTGATTTTTTTTGTTTACTTAAAAGAAAAGTAAGAATAAAATAAAATTATTGTTCAGTAGAAGAAATGAATTAATCTTTGTAGAGTTAATTAGGTTGTCATCAAACTGAAAATTATATTCTGAACCAATTTTTAGCTCTAGCAATACTTCACTCACACACTTTTTCCTGTGCACTTTCCCTTTATGGAACACTTAACTTTGCAGGCAAAATTGCTTCAGCTGTAATGATGATTGGGTAACATCTGAGGTGTGCTTGGCAGCGCAAAGTACACATTAATAATGAAAGTTTGCTAGATAGCTTGTTTATATATATCCCAAACATTACAATATTGGATGTTGTCATCTAATAGTCATTTCTTTGTTTTATTCAATTTCCTACTCAAATACATAGAGCAAAAGTAACTTATGCATTTTAGGCGTACCGGTACAAAGTGTAAGAAATGTTGGAGCTTGATATGGGATATTATATACATAAAGCTAAACCGGTCTTCTGGGCCGGTCGAGAAGGTTAAACCAAGAAGGAGCCGAGCCAAAAG